TTTATATTAAAGTCATTCACTCAAAATACAAAGAAAATAGAATTAAAACGTTGGTGCAATCTGCAAAATTGGGTGAAATCATGGATAATTGTAAAGCTCAAAGTTCACATGAATAAATCTCAATATTGTTTTACCCCCAAAAAAGTAGAGATATTCGGGTTTATACGAAATAACAATAAGCGTTTAAATTAGAATAAATTGAAACAATTGTTAGATGGCACGTGACAATTCACCTACATAGGACTGCTGATTTAACATTGAGTAACATTTTTTCACGTACTTCTAAATTTAATAAAAAAAAACATAATTTTGTTACAAAAAACAATGTTTAATTATTTATATAATAGGGGAGTTAGCATCGTTTGTCTTTGATTTTTTTGCAGTTGAGATCGCTTTAAGATTATTCATCCAATAATCCTAATTAATCTCTACAAAAATTTTCCTCACATACACATTCCAAAAAACAGTAGGACTATATTTTTCTCTCCCTCCCACACATCTCTGTCTCCAAAACCGAATGGACTCTTACGTCTCTATCTCTCCCAGCATCTCTCTCACACTAATAGAACTCTGTTTTGTCCGGCCCAAATATTTTGGGAGAGAAACGTGAATGAACCCATGGCAACACCAACATGCGTCTCTCTCCCCTACGACAGCGTCTCAAGTAACTCTCTTTCTACCTCTTTCCCTTCAAATTTTGTTTGTGAATTGCGTNCGGCCCAAATATTTTGGGAGAGAAACGTGAATGAACCCATGGCAACACCAACATGCCTCTCTCTCCCCTACGACAGCGTCTCAAGTAACTCTCTTTCTACCTCTTTCCCTTCAAATTTTGTTTGTGAATTGCGTGTTTTGTTTTTACTTGCGATTATGATTACAAATTTGTTTAGGTTTGTTATTTTGTTTGATTATCAATCCTATTTCTTTTCTAATTGTAGTTCCCATTTCCGATGACTGGGGACTCTTTTCATGCTCCAACAATTTTCAGTTTGCTGATTGGCCTTTTATTTGCTCTTAAATCACCAATTTATGATCTAAGAGTAGAAACTCCCCCTCCTCCTCCTCGTCTTGGGACAATTCGATACAAATTATTGAAGTTCTCAAAGGGAACTTCAGTCATGGATCAAAATACCATTTTTTTTATTTGTGAACTAATGGAAACTTGTATCTAATTTCTTACGCNTGATTGGCCTTTTATTTGCTCTTAAATCACCAATTTATGATCTAAGAGTAGAAACTCCCCCTCCTCCTCCTCGTCTTGGGACAATTCGATACAAATTATTGAAGTTCTCAATGGGAACTTCAATCATGGATCAAAATACCATTTTTTTTATTTGTGAACTAATGGAAACTTGTATCTAATTTCTTACGCTCTTTGTGTGTGTTTGTTGTATGTAGGGGGTTTATGCCTGGAAGTTGTCCCCTTCACTCTGTATGTGTTATAAGAGATTGTGTGGAGTCCTATTCTTGATGTTTGATTGTGTTTGGTGAGATGCATGCTATTTAAGCTCACAAATGGATTGATGTTTAGCGTCATATACATGTTTGTACACTTCTTTATAGTGAAGGTGAGTTTTACGATCAAAAGGACACGTCACAAATGAAGCTAAGTTTATGAAAGTGTACTTCCTTTGAGTGACTGATGCCATGTAGAGAAAGGGTGATTATACAAATTTAACGAATGATCCTTCTAAAATCAACTTTTCAAAAAACATCAGCAAAATGCAGATTTTAGTATTTGTGAAATCGAACTTCACCTAATGACACTATATGAACCTGTATTATTACCTAACACATGTAGATCGTGTCCAAATATCCTACCATAAATTACAATACATTTGCTTCCATTTCTATTCTCTATTTGTTTGTTTTGGTAAAATACATCTATTCCTTAATATGGTAGGATCATGTGATAGATTACAATGAATTGCTAAGGTCTTTTTAAATAAGAAATAAAGCTTTCTTTTTTGTAGAACGGTGAAAAACTATAAAAAACGTGGCTAAGTAATTGAAGTACAACAAAAAATTTCAAATTTTAGTTTTCTATCTTATTGGGAACCACTTTTGTGGTCTCTTTGTTTCACCGAAAGGTCTATTATTCAATTATAAATTAATGCAATATATTTTGGTTACCCAGACTCCAAACCTGAAGCCTGATTCATAATTGTGGCTTTCAAACACATGCAACACTTACAAGGGCTTATGCATTTAAATATATAGGTCAATAAGGTTGTTGTATTCGATTAATTTTAGATGAATTGCTAAGTTAAATTTCTTATAGCTCTATGATTTTAATCGTCATAGTAAATTAGGTCGGTTAATTTACTAATTGATTTATTTTGATTATAGAAAAATCATAGGGTTGTGACGGGAAAAAAGTCGTGGCTACTGAGGGAAAGGCATGCTAAGATCATTGGACTTAGGCTTATTCTTTTTTGTAGTACTATGGTTTTGAGGTGAATTGTGCAGTCATGGGGACTCCTCCTTGAGCTGAAAGTTTTCAAGTTCACACAATTTCAATTTAAATGTTTTTAACTTTTTTGGTTATTTTGTATGTTGGTAGTAAGTATAGCCATGTTATCTTAAATGAAATATGAAATTCAATTACCATAGGAAGCATAGTTTTTCAATGGATTCTCATTTTTTCTAATTGGGGATTTTTTTTTTGTTACACAATGCTTTTTAGGCATGGATATTCTACCGAATTTTTTTTTTTTTTTAAATAATGAGTCTATATTGATTGATATTTTGTGCTATACATTACTTTCAAATACAATTTTTTATTTTAATGTAATGCCTTTAATCACAGACAATTATTATTAACTTTATAAAATGAATCTATTATCTATATGTTAGTATGTACATAATGGACTTGTACATGCCCACATATAGAATATTATACATGCAATTAAACTTGGATAAATAGAACAAGTCCAAATAATGGACAAAAAAAAAAGGCACATAAAAATGCAAACTCTGAAACGAAAAAACTAAACCTAATTGCAAAATTTCATTGTGCTATAGAGTTTCCCCTAACCAACCACCAATGCACATAATTCATATAATCCAAATACTCTAAAATTCATGTTGAGGACTTGAGAACAAAATGTAAAGACTCCGAAGTGAAATAATTTGTAAATTTAGACGCATGGAGTTTAATTTTTTGCAATTTATTGGACCTAAGCCATGAATGATGTATCTCTTACGAATATTTTAATTTTGGCGTGGATAATGATCGAATCGAGGAAGGGAGTTGCCCATAGGAACACTTTGAATCATTAAAAAAATAAAATAAGTGAAAAAAAAACTTTTGATAACATCACACCGGAGAACAGAGATCATCACTTTGGCCGGGGAACAATAGTGATTGACTTTTATGATATATAAAAAGTGTTCCACTTGATACCTCTAAATTATTAGATTTAACCACTAAATCATCTATGATTTGATTAGATGCTTCAATAAGTACCAAAAAAAGCCAAATTTAAGAGTAAATATTGAATGCAATGGTAATACTATGTTTCAAATTGATGACATGGTGTCGTCAATCAATAATAAAATTTTAAATAAAAAATGTGAACTCTACTTGGGCTTTTATGACAGGAAGATGAAAAGTTATTTATTTACATGACATGTTAGTTATTAATTTTTATAAGATTTATTTGCTTATTTGTTTTACTATTAGGACTTGTCGTATGCCTACGTTTTTTTTAGAATAATGTTATTGGAATCTAATTTACTGATATAATTTGTTGATCTAATTCACCGTGACATTTTGATTCACTGTAGATCCTGTCAAACATTGGAACTTGGTATTGATCCAATGATTCCTATGACATTACATCATTATGTCAACAAATTAGGTCACATTTTTAAATAGAGTAATGTTATATGGACTTAAAAATTAAACTTGATAATCTCAATCATTGAATAGGTAGTTGGTCCCAATAAATGTTGGGACTCACAGTGAAATCAATGGTTGAGATTATCAAGTCTATTTTTTAAGTCCATGTAGCATTATTTTTTTAAATATAAATAATAGTGCTCTTTTTTTTAATTGATGCCCACGTTTTAATTATAGAATAGAATCTACATGCCCACCTACCCGGCGTCTCTATCTCTCGTACATGTGGGGGTTAAGGGTCATTTCGGCCATTTGAATTTGAGTCAATTGGAAAAAAAATGGTTTGATATAAAACATTTTAATAAAAGAATTTAATTTATAAGAGAATAAACTCAAATTTAAATTAGAGTTAAATATGGCAATTAGATATTAAAAAAATAATAATAAAATTTGATAATTAAAAATTTGAGTAAAAAATAGAGTATTTCTTCATTTAATATGAAGTTGAATAAATGACTAGAACTTATTTTTTGTTTTTTTTTACTCAAATTTAAATGGGAGGAAAAATTAAAGACATTCTAATAGATTTTATTATTTTAATAATTACCTATAACTAACTCATCAAATAACTTTCACGTTGGAATAATGAAGTCACCAATTTTATTTAGTATTTTATTATTAATTAATAATATCATATATTAATAATGATAAGGTATATCCAAAATCTATTTATAGCAAAATAAACTTTGCTTTTTCAAAAGAATAATACTATTTAAATTTAATTTGTGCTTATAATTATTGGATTGACAACAAACTCTAATATTTATTAAGACTTTAATTAATTTATAAATTATATCAGCAAATTAAATTTAAAAAGAATCAATTTTTCCGGAAATCCATTTTCAAGGATTTTCCCTACCAGCAGGCAACAACTACCATTCCCACACTTTAGCGAAAAAAAAACTACCATTCCCACTCTCCGCGCCTATAAATACACAAACCCACACGTCTGTACACGCACACGCACACACATGCACGCACATACTGTAGTTTCATCTACAGTGGGGTTTTAAGGGTTTTGGTTAAACAGCTTTACAATGAAATTCACTTCTAATCTTATTTACTTGTCTCTGTAATGCCTTTTTATTGTCAGTAAATGGCTTCACTATTCCTCTCTTTTCTTCATTTCACTCTAATCTTGATCCTCTTTTCATACCCGAGCTTCTTCTTGTACCCAGCCTTTACTGTCTCGGCTTCGTATGATGAATACTCCACAACCCACTTCGATTTTAGTCTTTTCCACCAGGATTACTCACCGCCGGCGCCGCCACCTCCTCCTCCGCGGCACTCTCCTTCACTTTCATGCAAGGACGACCTTGGCGGAATCGGCTCAATCGACACCACTTGTGAAATAGTCTCCAATTTGAATCTAACACGAAACGTATACATAGAAGGGAAGGGCGATTTTTATATCCTTCCCAATATTAATATAAATTGTTCGTTTTCCGGATGTGAATTCGCTATAAATATTACTGGTAGTTTCAGTTTAGGTGAAAATGCTTCGATTTTGGCTGGGACGTTTGAGCTCGTAGCCAGTAATGCAAGTTTTGGTAATGGGTCTACTGTTAATACCACGGGTTTAGCAGGGTCGCCACCGCCGGAGACGAGTGGAACCCCACAGGGGGTAGAGGGGGGTGGTGGTGGGTATGGGGGAAGAGGGGCAAGTTGTTTGCTTGATAAGAAGAAGCTTCCGGAGGATGTATGGGGAGGGGATGCGTATTCATGGTCAACATTGCAGAGGCCGTGGAGTTATGGGAGTAAAGGTGGGACGACCAGCAAGGAGGTGGATTATGGCGGTGGTGGTGGTGGGCGGATAATGTTGGTGGTAGATAGGTTTCTTGATGTTAATGGGAGTTTGCTGGTTGATGGAGGTGATGGGGGTACCAAAGGTGGAGGTGGGTCTGGTGGCAGTATCTTTATTAAGGCTTATAAGATGTAATTTTCTTCCTTTGCCTTTTGATTGATATAATTGTGGTCTGAGGACTTGCTATTGCTCGCAAAGTTGGTTCTGGGATGACTTATATGTTTCCATGTCATTTATATTGGTGTATTGAATATTCCATAGTGTTTTTTTTTTTTGGGAATATTAAGTGAGAATATAATGTTCTGTGCTACAGTGTGCAATGTAGTGCTAAAGTTCATTTTTGTAACTCAGATGAAAGATTTCCACTTTGTAAGTAGCGAAATGTTTGACCTTGTGCATGTTTTTTATGAACCATGAAATGATTCAAACTTATAGATAATAAAAGCTTATATTGGGGCTCTATTTAGTGTGCTTGAGTTGTCTCCGTTAGAGGTAGGTTGACAGGGTGATATTGTGTTTGAGTCTGTCAGATAAATTTGTGAAAGCCCCTTTTACTCATGAGATAGCAGCCAATGAAAGAGTTCAGCATATGCAAACGATAGAAGCCATTCTGTGATTCTGATGGCTTTTCTCTGTTAGGGTGGGCAAACTGTGTTAAAGTTTTGTTAAACCGTGTTAAAGTTTTTTATTGGTAAAGTTTTGTAGGAAATTCATAATTGTTGTTGGTCTTCTATCAATTTATTTTCCGTGTTAGGTGAGGCCTTTTATAATACCATTCAAAATGATTATTAGCCTTATTCCAGAATGATGGTATGTAGAGGCTTTCTGTAATTCATGATTGGGCTTATTCCAGTCTGCTAGGTCCTATACGGGAAAGGATTTTCAATGGGGGAGTCAAGGAGATAGTTTGGATAACCTGTACTGATGTTATGCTTCTCATTTTTCTCTTTAACATGACTTAATCCACATTTGTGGTGATTTGTGCATTTCCTTATATCAGAAGAAAACACTTCAACGTGTATGGTTCTTTTGTGGTACTTTATTTATGTTTTTCAGAAGTTAGAGAAAAAGGACTGATTCAACAAAGTATTTTGTTTGGTTCAATGAAGTAGTATTATGAAGCGCACTTATGTTGACTCTAATTATGTAGTTTCCAAGGCTAGAGGTTCAATCAACATCACTCTGTAAGCCTATTTCTCTTGTCATTAATTTGTATGGATGGTTTCTTGAATTTTGTGATGCCATAATGCTGTGTTCTCCAATCTATGTTTAAAGGACCTGTTGGAGGGGTAATATCTTTTGTGATATGATTTCCTGCGAGAGGTGGAGAACTCGTAGAAACTAGATTTTAGTTGTAGTGTTGAAGATTAATTCTAAGTGTATGGTCTTGGGAATTATGCTTCCCAAGCCATTTTTTTATGAAAAAAGGAATTTTGGAAGAATTGATATTTGCCAAAGAATAGTGGCCTTTGACCCTATTTGAAAATTTTACTTCTCTTTCTATCATTACCATTAGGAGTTTAGGATGCATATATTTTTTTTTTTTGAAGGTTTTAGGATGCGTATACTTTTTTTTGGGAAAATTAGGATGCGTATACTTGCTCCTTTACTCCAGTTGAATCTTCTATAAATGCATCATAAAGTCAAACACGTCCTTAATTCTTTAGTTCTTTGTTCTTGATTCTATGCCCATGCTCTTTTACCCTCAATATTTGCTCAGGACTTCTTGATGTCTTCTAAAGTTGACACTTTGGCATTTGCTCATGGACAGGGGAATACTTTGGCATGCTTCAAATGAGGTGATCTAAGTTTTTCTTACTCTTAATGTAGTATGCGTGTTATGGAAGACAAGAAAACTTCAAACCAACTTTTCCTTGAGAGTTCCTACTTATTTCTTGTAGACTTTGGTCATTAAGGTTCTGCCTGTTACTTGGACTATTGAATTTGTGCATGAAAGTGGTTGTTTTCAAGAACAATTGAATTAAAGAAAATATTATTGTGGAGGAATTTGAGATAGGGAATGAGAGAGGGGTATTATTTTCTTTGGGGATTGAGGCAAAATTAAAGAATTTCAAAAAAATTGTTGATGGATTTGGTATCGTTTTTGGGCTAAAAGTTAATATGGATAGANCCAATTTTATTTAGTATTTTATTATTAATTAATAATATCATATATTAATAATGATAAGGTATATCCAAAATCTATTTATAGCAAAATAAACTTTGCTTTTTCAAAAGAATAATACTATTTAAATTTAATTTGTGCTTATAATTATTGGATTGACAACAAACTCTAATATTTATTAAGACTTTAATTAATTTATAAATTATATCAGCAAATTAAATTTAAAAAGAATCAATTTTTCCGGAAATCCATTTTCAAGGATTTTCCCTACCAGCAGGCAACAACTACCATTCCCACACTTTAGCGAAAAAAAAACTACCATTCCCACTCTCCGCGCCTATAAATACACAAACCCACACGTCTGTACACGCACACGCACACACATGCACGCACATACTGTAGTTTCATCTACAGTGGGGTTTTAAGGGTTTTGGTTAAACAGCTTTACAATGAAATTCACTTCTAATCTTATTTACTTGTCTCTGTAATGCCTTTTTATTGTCAGTAAATGGCTTCACTATTCCTCTCTTTTCTTCATTTCACTCTAATCTTGATCCTCTTTTCATACCCGAGCTTCTTCTTGTACCCAGCCTTTACTGTCTCGGCTTCGTATGATGAATACTCCACAACCCACTTCGATTTTAGTCTTTTCCACCAGGATTACTCACCGCCGGCGCCGCCACCTCCTCCTCCGCGGCACTCTCCTTCACTTTCATGCAAGGACGACCTTGGCGGAATCGGCTCAATCGACACCACTTGTGAAATAGTCTCCAATTTGAATCTAACACGAAACGTATACATAGAAGGGAAGGGCGATTTTTATATCCTTCCCAATATTAATATAAATTGTTCGTTTTCCGGATGTGAATTCGCTATAAATATTACTGGTAGTTTCAGTTTAGGTGAAAATGCTTCGATTTTGGCTGGGACGTTTGAGCTCGTAGCCAGTAATGCAAGTTTTGGTAATGGGTCTACTGTTAATACCACGGGTTTAGCAGGGTCGCCACCGCCGGAGACGAGTGGAACCCCACAGGGGGTAGAGGGGGGTGGTGGTGGGTATGGGGGAAGAGGGGCAAGTTGTTTGCTTGATAAGAAGAAGCTTCCGGAGGATGTATGGGGAGGGGATGCGTATTCATGGTCAACATTGCAGAGGCCGTGGAGTTATGGGAGTAAAGGTGGGACGACCAGCAAGGAGGTGGATTATGGCGGTGGTGGTGGTGGGCGGATAATGTTGGTGGTAGATAGGTTTCTTGATGTTAATGGGAGTTTGCTGGTTGATGGAGGTGATGGGGGTACCAAAGGTGGAGGTGGGTCTGGTGGCAGTATCTTTATTAAGGCTTATAAGATGTAATTTTCTTCCTTTGCCTTTTGATTGATATAATTGTGGTCTGAGGACTTGCTATTGCTCGCAAAGTTGGTTCTGGGATGACTTATATGTTTCCATGTCATTTATATTGGTGTATTGAATATTCCATAGTGTTTTTTTTTTTTGGGAATATTAAGTGAGAATATAATGTTCTGTGCTACAGTGTGCAATGTAGTGCTAAAGTTCATTCAGATGAAAGATTTCCACTTTGTAAGTAGCGAAATGTTTGACCTTATGCATGTTTTTTATGAACCATGAAATGATTCAAACTTATAGATAATAAAAGCTTCTATTGGGGCTCTATTTAGTGTGCTTGAGTTGTCTCCGTTAGAGGTAGGTTGACAGGGTGATATTGTGTTTGAGTCTGTCAGATAAATTTGTGAAAGCCCCTTTTACTCATGAGATAGCAGCCAATGAAAGAGTTCAGCATATGCAAACGATAGAAGCCATTCTGTGATTCTGATGGCTTTTCTCTGTTAGGGTGGGCAAACTGTGTTAAAGTTTTTTATTGGTAAAGTTTTGTAGGAAATTCATAATTGTTGTTGGTCTTCTATCAATTTATTTTCCGTGTTAGGTGAGGCCTTTTATAATACCATTCAAAATGATTATTAGCCTTATTCCAGAATGATGGTATGTAGAGGCTTTCTGTAATTCATGATTGGGCTTATTCCAGTCTGCTAGGTCCTATATGGGAAAGGATTTTCAATGGGGGAGTCAAGGAGATAGTTTGGATAACCTGTACTGATGTTATGCTTCTCATTTTTCTCTTTAACATGACTTAATCCACATTTGTGGTGATTTGTGCATTTCCTTATATCAGAAGAAAACACTTCAACGTGTATGGTTCTTTTGTGGTACTTTATTTATGTTTTTCAGAAGTTAGAGAAAAAGGACTGATTCAACAAAGTATTTTGTTTGGTTCAATGAAGTAGTATTATGAAGCGCACTTATGTTGACTCTAATTATGTAGTTTCCAAGGCTAGAGGTTCAATCAACATCACTCTGTAAGCCTATTTCTCTTGTCATTAATTTGTATGGATGGTTTCTTGAATTTTGTGATGCCATAATGCTGTGTTCTCCAATCTATGTTTAAAGGACCTGTTGGAGGGGTAATATCTTTTGTGATATGATTTCCTGCGAGAGGTGGAGAACTCGTAGAAACTAGATTTTAGTTGTAGTGTTGAAGATTAATTCTAAGTGTATGGTCTTGGGAATTATGCTTCCCAAGCCATTTTTTTATGAAAAAAGGAATTTTGGAAGAATTGATATTTGCCAAAGAATAGTGGCCTTTGACCCTATATGAAAATTTTACTTCTCTTTCTACCATTACCATTAGGAGTTTAGGACGCATATATATTTTTTTTTTTGAAGGTTTTAGGACGCGTATACTTTTTTTTGGGAAAATTAGGATGCGTATACTTGCTCCTTTACTCCAGTTGAATCTTCTATAAATGCATCATAAAGTCAAACANGCGTATACTTTTTTTTGGGAAAATTAGGATGCGTATACTTGCTCCTTTACTCCAGTTGAATCTTCTATAAATGCATCATAAAGTCAAACACGTCCTTAATTCTTTAGTTCTTTGTTCTTGATTCTATGCCCATGCTCTTTTACCCTCAATATTTGCTCAGGACTTCTTGATG